ATTTTAGTCGAATTAATAAAAATATTTTACAACCCGAACATTCTAAAAGTTGTTTCTTGAAAATCATGTTAAATCTAAATACTAACATGGTTTTTTTCAGGGCAAATTAAGAGAACCCCTTGAGGTAAGGTTTAATTACGAGAAGCCCCTCCATGTTTGTATAATTACGGGAAAAACCCCTCTGATCTGAGTTTGACTGTGCATTCTAACATAATGGGTGTTTTCTCTGTTTTACCCTTAAGTAATATGAACTAAAATAAAATAAAATATTATATTGAAACCTTACAATATAACCACTTATGAATGTTAACCACAGTAGTTAACCCCTCAAGCAGTAACAACAACGGCTATGGTTATGGGTGGGAGGCGGAAGAGATGAACATTTTTTTTTTGTTTTTACAATAATTTACTTATTTTTAATATTTTTTTTGCACAATCAATTTTATTGTAAAAAAATTTAGAAACATGTAAACGAAATAAAATTTACAAAACAAATTAAAACTTTTAATGTTATAATATATTTATTTTATTTTATTTTATTTTTAATAATTATAAAACATACAATACATAATGTTAATAAAAAAAATTAAAAAAAACTTTGTTATAAAATTTCGTGATTATAGAGTTTTTTAAATATATTATAATTCACAGCATAAGCAAATTGGGCAAATGGCAAAAAGGGACATGTCAACGGACTTAAATGCACATTATTCCAAAAAAAAAAAAACAGTCTTTCAAATAAATCCATCCCCATGTCTTTAGTATAAAATACCCTCAATAATATATTTTTTATCAATACCATCCATTATACTCTAACTTCCTTAATATTACACATTGACCCCGGATTTAAACAAATATATCACATTAACCCCCATTTAAATAATTTTTTGAAAAAATATTTTTTTTTTCAGAAAATGATTTTTTTTTTCTGAATTTTTTTTTCCGGCCAGATTTTCTGGTGTTGACTCTTTTTTATTTTTGAAAAGTTTTTCCGGGTGGTCAACCGCCGGCCTCCGACGTTCACTTTTTTATTATTATTATCATTATTATTATTATTATTATTATTATTATTATTATTATTATTATTATTATTATTATTATTATTATTAATATTATTTTTTTTTTTTTTTTTTTTTTTTTTTTAAATTGTTTTTTTTCTTAGAAAACAATATTTTAATTAATATTAATGTCTTGGCATCTAAATTACTGTCTGAGACAATAATATTACTGTTTGGGACAATAATATTATGAATATTATTTTCCCGAACAGTAATATTACTAATATTACTGTCCCAAACAGTAATATTATTGCATCAGACAGTAGTATTACGGTCGGAGACAGTAATATTACAGTCGAAGACAGCAAAAATGCAGGCCAAGACGATAAAATTAAGCAATACAATAATATTACTGTCTTAGACAGCTAAATTAATGTCTCCGACTCTCCATTACTGTTGGAGGCAGTAATTTAGCAGCCAAGACAGTAATATTAATTAAAATATTTTACTAAGAAAAAATAAATTTATTATTATTATTATTATTATTATTATTATTATTATTATTATTATTATTATTATTATTATTATTATTATTATTATTATTATTATTATTATTATTATTATTATTATTATTATTATTATTATTATTATTATTATTATTATTATTATTACTATTATTATTATTATTATTATTATTACTATTATTATTACTATGAAATAGCGCTTTCCAGTGCTGGTTTTCCCATACGTCGTCGAGCACTATGAAATAGCGCTTTCCTTCCAGGCATTGGTGGAGCTTGTGCTTGACTTGAGACAAAGTCTCTTTGTCGAACTCGTCGAGCAGATCGGAGTTGGTACCAACCAGCTGCATCATCAATTCCTTAATAACATCTTTGGGGTTGAATTGAATTGAAACGCATACCCAAAGGCGGCAGTCAAAACATCTGGCTACTGCTATGTGATTGTACACTTGTCTCGCGAGGTATGACTTTCCAATGCCGCCCATGCCTACGATGGTGGCAATGGAAAGCTCCTATGTGCTCTCCTACATAACAAATTCTTCGAGCAATTTTTCGGTGTCGGTATCCAAGCCCACCACGTATTTGTTCTGCTGCCAGCAGGCCAATCGTCTTTCCCACTCCGCCACACTTGGTCGGCTGGTGCTAAATGATGCCCCGTGATCACCATGATTCTGGATCCCGTAAGCCTCGCGGCTTTTCTTGATATTCTCGAGCCTACCCTGGATTAAGTCAATCTCTTTCCCAATTTTGTAGCGCTTAATGGCCGTCGATAGGAACAAAGCGGACTTCCTCAGTAACCCGCTTCTTCCTGGGATATCGATATTGAGAACGAACATGTCGATTATATCTTCTACATCTTGAGCCACATCCCTGATTTCCGAAATCCAGTTGCGCATTCGCTCATCAGTGGCTTCTTTATCGGACGCATCTATCAAAAAACTTTGCATCCTCTTTAATTCTTCTTTCAAGAATTGAACCCGTCCCTTCACGCCTCGCAAATATTCTGCCTTACTGATAAGCACATCATGCAGCGTTCCCAAAGCAAAAGAAAGTGCCGCATCCGCCATATCTCAAATAAGATTTCGGTTTTTTTCTGCTAGTCGCGAAGATAAATCAAATTCGAGGTTGAATATAATAGGATTTTCAACACTAAAGGGGAACGAGCAGAAATACGAAGAGGGTTCTCAACACAGCAGAAATACAAATAGAACCAATTTATCCGAGAAGATTGAGAGCAGATATATTCCTGCACATAAGATAGGAAAAGTGTCAGCTTCATTTTTCCAACGGAGCTGCTAAACGGTACCATTTGTGCACAAGAAAAATACTATGATTTAGAAAATCTCTGGTTTACAAACGCTACACAGGTTCAAAGGGAACCAAAACACTACAACAGCGCTCGAATCCATAGCGATTAATCAAAACCCCTACAACATCGCTCGAATTCATAGCGATTGATCAAAACCCTATAACAGCGCTCGAATCCATAGCGATTAATCAAAACCCCTACAACATCGCTCGAATTCATAGCGATTGATCAAAACCCTATAACAGCGACTCAAATTCACAGCAATTGATCAAAACCCTATAACAGCGACTCAAATTCACAGCAATTGATCAAAACCTTATAACAGCGACTCAAATTCACAGCAATTGATCAAAACCCTATAACAGCGACTCAAATTCACAGCAATTGATCAAAACCCTAGACACGGCCACGGGCCGGTTCGGGCCGGTTCGGACCGGTTCACGGTTCACATTTTCCGGAACCGGAACCGGCCCGTGGCGTGCACGGTTCACCGGGCCGGGTCGGCCCGCCGGTTCGGGCCGGTTCACGGGCCTATCCGGGCCGGTTCCGGGTCGGCCCGGAAATTTTGATTTTTTTTTTTTTGTTTTTTTTTTTTTTTGAAATATTTAATGAATAAGTAAATTAAAAGAAATACTTTTAAATAGATAAAGGAAAAGGAAATAAATGAAAAGTCAATTTAGAAGCACAAGTTTGAAATATTTGATGAATAAGTAAATTATAGGAAAAATTGGGGTGTGAGGGTATTTAAAGGAAAAATTGGGGGGGTTTGGGGGCGAAAAAAATTCAAAAAAAAGCAAATTTGGGGTGTGAGGGTATTTATAGGAAAAATTGGGGGGGGGGGGAATTCAAAAAAATTCAAAAAAAAAGTAAATAACGGCCGGTTCACCCGGGCCGGTTCAACGGGCCGGTTCACCCGGTGAACCCGGTGAACCGGCCGTTATTCACTTTTTTTGAATTTTTTTGATTTTTTTTTTTTTTTTAAATCCGGGTAAACCGCCGGGCCGGCCCGGCTGTTCACGGTTCACCAATTCTAAGAACCGGGCCCGTCCCGGGTAGGACGGGCCGGTTCACGGTTCCGGGCCGGTTCACACGGTCAACGGGCCAGTTTGGGCCGTCAACGGGCCGGTTCGGGCCGGTTCCGGGCCTAAAACCGGCCCATGGCCGTGTCTACGAGTCCTCACAGAAATATGATTATCTCTCTCTTCTTTATTGTTTATTTTATTAATGTGTTAATGTGTTTTTTTTTTAAATTAATGTTTGATATAGATTGTATATAAAAATTGTTAATATAACGACTAATAAAATGGAACATGTGAAGTATGACGGAAGAATGTGTTGAGTATATCATATTTCTATTATTAATTTTAGGGGTGAGAAAAAAAACCGAAAAAACGAAAAACCGAACCGAAAAACCGAGCCGTTTTAAACCGTACCGTTTAGCAAATCACATGTACGGTTTTTTTATTTTTGAAATACCGAATTATTCGGTTCGGTATGGTGGAAAGGTAAAAACCGAACCGAAAAACCGAACCGAACCGAAACTATAAAATGATTTCATTTTATATAATATATGTATTATTTTACCCTAATATTTATTTTCTATTTTTCAATTATTTGTCTCATTCTAAGCATTTGTTCATAATTAATTGAGACATTGTATTTTATTTATCTAGTAATTAAAAATTTACTTGAGTTCATGGTTTTAATAATGTAGTAGATGAAAGTAGGAAAAAAAAATGAAGCATAATAAATCATCTATAAATTACGTTAAGTCCTATGAAATTAAAGATTTTATATTTTCATTGCATTAGTAAGTTGTGAAAGTAATTGTAATTGTATTCTTTTGTTTGTACAACTTGAATATATAGTTACGCTTGAACCGAAAAATAACTTAAACCGAACCGAAAAAAACCCGAAACCGAACCGAAACCGAAAGAAACCAAACCGATAAAAAACCGACATACACGGTTTTTAATTTTACAAAAACCGATATATTCGGTTCGGTTCGGTTTTTGGCTAAAACCAAACCGAACCGACCCGTGCACACCCCTAATTAATTTCCTTCGATACTCTATTATCTCTTGGTTTAAGCCAAGAGAGCTCGAAAATATTCTAAGGCAACAAGGCCTCAACGGCACTCCTTATCGACCCTTTCTTGGAGACGTGAAGAATATGATGAGACTCAACGAAACAGATAAACAAAAAACAATCAATCTCTCAGAAGATGCATCACCGCACGTTTTCGGATATTACTATCGGACTGTTGCTAAGTACGGTACGCACTGGGGGAACATTTAAGGGGCATGGGGGGCCGTTGACCCCCCAAGAAAAAAAAAATTTAGATATTTGGTACTAAATTTTTTGAATATTACTTTTGACCCCCCAAAGTTTTTGTAAATATTTATCTTGACCCATTATTTTTTTTGTTTTTTCTCCAAAATCTTATATAAATTATAGATAAAATAATCATATTTAATATAAAATATAAAATAAGATAGTTAAAACTTGTATTATTTTAAATAAAATTTATGAATATTACTTATTTTCGAATTTTTTTTCATCTAACGCCTTAAAAATAAAAGATGAGATCGTGCCATGAATCTCCGAAATATTAAGTGCAGCTATTATTAGAATAATTTGAATTAATTTAGATTTTTTTGTGATGATTAAAATATGATATATATATATATATATATATATATATATATATATATATATATATATATATATATATATATATATATGATATTTTAATTAAAAATTAGTTATATAAACTTATTTTTTGAACCCCAAAATTTTAGTTAGCCCCCCTTACATTTTAATCCTGGTTCCGCCCCTGACGGTACGTAACAATAATTAATATTCCTGTTATTTATTATCCTATTTGGGAAAATTACACTTTTCACCCCTCAAGTTTATACTAATTCCACATTAGGTCCCTCTTGTTTCAATAATTTAACATTTTTTGTCATTTCCGTCATTTTACCGTTAACATGTAGGGATGGGCACACACTTGATTCCGTTAGTAATAACCGAAAATTGACGGAAGCGACTGAAAGGGTTGAATTTATGAAACATGAGGGACCAAATGTGTTTTTTTGTAAACATGAGGGACTAAATGTGAAATCAGTGCAAACTTGAGGGATCAAAAGTGAATTTTTCCCTATTATATATACTCGATTTTCTTCTTATTATTACTATTAATTTTTTTTTCAGGTAAGAATTCTTTCATGTGGTTCGGTCTGTGGCCGAGATTAAACGTTGCGGATCCGGAGCTAATAAAGGAGATTCTAAGTAGACCGGATGCTTTTCAACAGCCACTTCCGGAAACAGGCAAGATTCTTACGGGCGGGATCGTGTTTCTTCAAGACGAAAAATGGGGGTGTGTGTAATTTACCCTTATTTTTATTATTATTAGATATCTTCCGACAAAACTAAACAGGAAACTGAAAGCAATGAACAATGAACTCCAATTGTTGCTAAAGGGTATAGTCGACAAAAGACAAAAAGCCATGGAAAGGGGTGAAGCCATGCCTAATGACTTGTTAGGCGCTCTTATGGAATCGAATTCAAGGTTCATTAATGAAGACAATGACGGAAACCAGAATGTTGTCGGGATGAGTATCGATGACGTCATCGACGAGTGCAAATTTTTCTACTTTGCGGGTTCAAAAACGAACGAAAAATTACGCCATCTTCTCCTCTACCATTTCCGGCGATATAGTGACTAGATCCGATTTTGCAACTATCTAAGTATTGTTTTTCCATTTTTTCATAAATGAATAACCTACTAGGTAGTACTTAATTAATTATGAGGGTGGATTAATTAATTCATTAATTGAGATTAATTAAACTAATAATCTAGTTATAGTACAGTGTTAGGGAGGTCAGGTGGGATTGATCAGAATAATGTATTGTGTTCTGTTTCAATAGGGGAAACAGCAAGATCATAATTGGAAATTGCACCCCCTAATATTTATTTAATTAGTCTGAAATAATACTTTTTTTTTTTAATTAATAAAAAGAAGGGCTAATTAATTAGTAATAAAATATTAGTTGAGGGGGTGAGATAAATTACCATGTGATTATAGTGATGATGGTGATAGGGGTGGTGGGGGTGACCCTGGCTCGACGACATGGGTGAACCAACGGGGGTGGATGGATCTGACACGTCATCTGCCAGCTGGCACTCCATGTTCACACCAAACAGCCTCAGCCTCTTGGGATTCCCACTTCCTGTTGTTTGCTTCTCTAGTACTGGAACTGATCCTGTATGTGTGTGTAATCAATGTGTATAATTAAACACGTTTTTTTAATTTGTTTTAAAATGTTGCCAATTAATGGAAATTAAATCAAAATTGGATTAAATTAGATAGTATTTTAATCTGAGATTATTACAAGAGAAGAATGGGGGCAAATATATATATATGCAGGCTTAATTTGCCTTATAAAGGGTTAAAAAGAACATATATCCCTATACATGTATTGAAGGAAATTAGTTAGTTGAAAATTGGGAAGATGAATTGAAGTGTGCACCACGCGCACATCAAATGCGTGTGAAACAAACACACACACACAGGAGACAAAGACAGAAGTATTGCATGACTGCCATGCGTCTGTCTGCATCTGTAAGAAAATATAGCACCAGTACATACATACATGAAAATATATAGAGATATGCTTTTTGTATGTATATACCTGGATGAAGAGAGTGATTCGGTAGAGGAGAAGATGGCGTAATTTGATACTGGCCGCGGCTAATCGGATAAGGTTGCGCCGAATAGAACGCCGCCGCCCTATTCCATTAGTACTAACGAAAAATTGACGTAAAGGACTAAAAGTGTTGAATTTTTGAAACACGAGGGGCCAAATGTGGATTGGTGCAAATTTGAAGGATAAAAACTATATTTATTCTTGGTCTAAATGCAAATAAACTCATTATTTTTTGGTCTCTGAAACTTTTCATTGTACTTATTCACTGTTGAAAAGAAAAAAAATATATAAACAATTTCCGAAGAGCATTAATTCTAGCTATGCATATATATTTGTGCATTCATTATTACAGGTGACGATGATTCTGCAAGAATCACTAAGGTTGTACCCACCGGCGCCTCTAATGACTCGAGGCTCTACAAAGACACTGAAACTAGGGAACATGACTATTCCACCAGGGGTACATATGACATTGCTAATAGGCATACTCCACCGCGACCCCGATTTTTGGGGAGACGATGCAAACGAGTTCAATCCTCATAGATTCTCTGAAGGAGTTTCGAACGCGGCAAGTACTCAATCCGCCTACATACCCTTTGGTGCTGGTCAAAGAGTCTGCATCGGTCAAAACTTGGTCTTGATCGAAGCAAAAATTGCTCTAGCCATGATTCTACAAAGCTTCTCGTTCGAGCTTTCACCGTCATACTTACATGCTCCTTTCAATGATATTAATTTGTTACCAATATATGGAGCACCTATGATTTTGCGCTCATTATAAATAAAGGAATAGGATCATAATCAGAATCAGAATCAGAATCAGGTTCCTAAACAAGTCCATTTTGATGCTGGTGATAAGACAATGTGTGTTTTTCATTTTCACTTATGTGGAATCAAATGATTTGTGTACTCAACTTGTACTTCAATAAAATGGAAGTAATGTCTTTTGTTTGGACCAATGATCATTCTGTAAACATACATTATATCATGAAATTGGTAAGAAAACTGTTTAATTTTTTTTATTTTTTTTTTTATTACTTTCACATGACTTAAGATTGAGAGAGTATTTTAGTCGAATTAATAAAAATATTTTACAACCCGAACATTCTAAAAGTTGTTTCTTGAAAATCATATGTTAAATCTAAATACTAACATGGTTTTTTTAGGGCAAATTAAGAGAACCCCTTGAGGTAAGGTTTAATTACGAGAAGCCCCTCCATGTTTGTATAATTACGGAAAAAACCCCTCTGATCTGAGTTTGACTGTGCATTCTAACATAACGGGTGTTTTCTCTGTTTTACCCTTAAGTAATATGAACTAAAATAAAATACAATATTATATTGAAACCTTACAATATAACCACTTATGAATGTTAACCACTGTAGTTAACCCCCTCAAGCAGTAACAACAACGGCTATGGTTATGGGTGGGGGACGGAAGAAGATGAACATTTTTTTTTTTAACAATAATTTACTTATGTTTAATATGTTTTTTGCATAATCAATTTTATTGTAAAAAAATTAGAAACATGTAAACGAAATAAAATTTACAAAACAAATTAAAACTTTTAATGTTATAATATATTTATTTTATTTTATTTTATTTTTAATAATTATAAAACATACAATACATAATGTTAATAAAAAAAATTAAAAAAAACTTTGTTATAAAATTTCGTGATTATAGAGTTTTTTAAATATATTATAATTCACAGCATAAGTAAATTGGGCAAATGGCAAAAAGGACATGTCAAGGAACTTAAATGCACATTCTTCCACAAAAAAAAAAACAGTCTTTGAAATAAATCCATACCCATGTCTTTTGTATACAATACCCTCAATAATATATTTTTTATCAATACCATCCATTATACTCTAACTTCCTTAATATTACACATTGACCCCAAATTTAAACAGATATATCACATTAACCCCATTTTAATAATTTTTTGAAAAAATATTTTTTTTTTCAGAAAATGATTTTTTTTCTGAATTTTTTTTTCCGGCCAGATTCTGGTGTTGACTCTTTTTTTTTTTCTTTTTCTGAAATGTTTTTTCGGCTGGTCAACCGCCGGTCTCCGGCGTAGACTTTTTTATTATTATTATTATTTTTTTAAATTATTTTTTTTCTTAGAAAACAATATTTTAATTAATATTAATGTCTTGGCTGCTAAATTACTATCTCAGACAGTAATATTATAAATATTATTTTCCCGAACAGTAATATTACTAATATTACTGTCCCAAACAGTAATATTATTGCATCAGACAGTAGTATTACGGTCGGAGACAGTAATATTACAGTCGAAGACAGCAAAAATGCAGGCCAAGACGATAAAATTAATTAATACAATAATATTACTGTCTTAGACAACTCAATTAATGTCTTCGACTCTCCATTACTGTTGGAGACAGTAATTTAGCAGCCAAGACAGTAATATTAATTAAAATATTTTACTAAGAAAAAATAAATTATTTATTATTATTATTATTATTATTATTATTATTATTATTATTATTATTATTATTATTATTATTATTATTATTATTATTATTATTATTATTATTATTATTATTATTATTATTATTATTATTATTATTATTAATAATAATTTTTCGAATTAAATATAAATAAACAAATTAAAAATGTCGTTTCAAGTCACATTTTTTGTGGTTGAGTGATACTACTTAAATTTTTTTGGTGGGAGGTTACGAATCGAAAACTTTCGTATGTTATTGGAAAAAAAAAAAAAAAAAAACCCATCAATATATTCGATTAATTAAATTTTTGTTTTGAGAGAATATTCGATTAATTAAATAGATGAATCTATTAATGTGCACAGGCATGCCGGGGGCTGCTGCATATATGGGGTGGAATGAAATATGCTCCCGGAAGAGAGGAGAAACAGTTTATGTTTCTTCGGCAGCAGGTGGAGTTGGTCATCTCGTCGGGCAATTCGCGAAAATGATGGGTTGCTATGTTGTTGGAAGTGCAAGCACTAACGAAAAGGTTACAATCCGAAACTTCCAAATTTAATTTCGGGCTAGAGAGTTTAAATCCGTAATAATAAATCTATCGAACCTGACTTATGTGCTAAAACGAAGTTTTTTTTGAGTGCTTAGAGAAAACATCGATTTTTTCAAAAATGTAAATATAAAAAATAAATTGAACAATATAGTAAATCTTGATAGTTTTTTTTCTTGGCATGCAGGTGGATCTATTAAAGACGAAGCTCGGATTTGATGATGCTTTCAACTACAAAGAAGGGGATTTGCGCTCAAATTTGGAAAAGTATGTCCCGACTCATGATCAATAATCTTTACGTCACTTTAGCCGTAGATTTTCTTTCTGATATTAAGTGTCACTTTAGAGTTTCAAGACATAACTAATCATCTTTTTTCCATGTTCATCCCAACATTGATGATAAATTAATGAAATGAGAACGAGGAGATGAAAATGCACAGAGGAGTAACTTGATCAAATAAAGATATCCCCCGAGTAACTTTAATATTC